GGGGGGGGGGAACTACAGCGAATTTGGGGGTGGCTGTAGCCCACTCCATAGCCCCCGTCTCCCAGCACCACCCACCCTGAACGCAGCCCCAGTTCAACCCGTCCTGCTAGGAAGAGTCCAGCACTGACCTCAGCCCCAGCCCATAGCAGCAGCCCACCATCCTGCACATGGATCTGGGGTGGCACGTGTCCCCCATGTCTCCCCCAGGGGTGCACACAGCAGCAGGAGCCACCTCCTTCCCAGTGCCCCCCAGATGAGCCTCTTGCAGCTCAGTCCTGTTCCCTACCCTGCCTCGGCTAGGCAGTGCCTGTGCCTGTCCCTGCCCCTGCTCCTCTCTCTCCCTCACTGCAGGGCCCTGAATCTCACCCCCATGCCCCTTTTCTTCACTGCCCTGCCCCTTCCCCCCCAACAGACTTACCAGCTGGATACTGTTTTCCAAGCTGCCAGGCTGCATACTGGCAATCAGCTCTGTATCAGCCAGTGTGGCTCATTAATAATTGGCCATCAGTATCAGCCCAAAATATCTTTATCGGTGCACCCCTAGCAGAGAGTACAAAAGTGAGGAAATTGATATTTTATCCAACAGCATCTGGACAAGCCCCATTCTTATAAAATACTACTACTGTTAGTACATGGTTTGAGACTCATCAAACAGAGGTATGCACCCTAGGGTGCTTGGTTAATCTATCTTGGCAGGTAAAAACCTGAATTAACTCTGACAGGATGAAAAAGTCGATGGTTTAAATCAGTCAAAGAATTTAGATCACCTGTCTATCTATATTGTAGATATCGCAGGTACTTATGGCCACTTCACCTGTGACACCTGTGTTGTCCAGTCATAAGTATATTAATGGACACCTAGCCCATGTGAAGAAGGGTGTTGACTCTGCTTTAGAGATGAGGAGCGAGGTCATGGGCAGATCATTGCATACTCCTGTGCAAGTTGTACCGGTTCTGTAACTTGGTGTAAATTATGGTATCCACAGATGGGCAGTTTAGGATAACTGAGACTAGGCTGCTGTTACAGTACCTCACAATTAGCTGGCATGGATCCAGTGAACAGCTTATTTTCCTGGAGGAAGAAGCTACCCTGGAAACTGCTATGGGCAGACACCACCTATGCTGATATAACTTGTCTGGGAAGGGTTATTACCCCTGAAAGAATCAGGGTAATCTGCACCAGCTTGGGTGAATTGTCCCAGTTGAGCAGGTTGTGTTGTTTGTCTGCTATGGTCTTAGACCAGTGGAACGATGTCACCATAGTGCCTGTCCAGGGCCTGAGGCACAGGGACGGGAATTCAGCTTGTTCCCCCAGCTTAAGAACTAGCAGCCTCTTCATCTTTCATCTCTAGAGCATGGTGTTGAGGCCAGTCAGGCACCACCCATCCTCCACCCAGCTCATGGTTCACCTTGAACATGCATTTCCCTGAGATACCATGGGAGGACATAAAAAGTTAGTTTTGGAGTTATTGAGAACTATCAGAATAAAAAAGCAGAATTTTCACCACATCCATGAGCTGTTTTAAATGTCATCTCATCAAACTCCCTGCAAAGGACTCCAGTCCTGCCTCTGGCAAAATAAGCAAAAAGGAGAAAAGCTCTTTACTTAGTTCCCTATAATCAAGGTGTAACTGAGATATTTGAAGGGACAAATACCCAGAGATCTGTCAGGTCTTCTAGAACCCAAAAGTGCTGTTACCATGGGGTGCATTAATTTCTTTGCTGACTGTAAAGTCCCTGACAAAAGAGTTCATTCTCTCTAAATATATACATCACTCTGCTGTCCATTCGTGTTGCAGAATTTAAAATAAAAAAAATTGTTTTTTTTTTATTCTGTTTGCCACCCTCTTCCAGATAAGCCATTCATAAATTGATTTTACAGTTCATTGATTTCCATGCCATTGCTTATCCCACCGCAGGGAAAATTGACCCTGCAATGATTGTTGCATGTGCTGTAATTAATCCAAAATACCATTGATCCCATTTACTAACCTGTGGGAAATTTTAACTGTGAATTCAGTTTTGGTATCTGAAACCAGCAAGTGAAAAGGCAGCCTGCGTTTCAGAAGGCACTTTTTTTTTACAGCACTGTCTGTTGGTAGTGGCAGGGTTATTGCACGCAGGAGGCTATAATGTTATGTGTGGTGTTGTTCATATGGGTCAGCACTTTCAATGTGGATGCCTAAGGCCAGGTGCCTCAGTGCATCTGAAACTGTAAGAAAATGACTTGATTTTTCAGAGGTGCCAAATGCCCTTCATTTCTTTTGTGTTTAATGTTCAGAACATTTATTTGCATGCAGATTTAGGTATCTGACTTTTTTAGGAATGAAAGGGAGCACTCGCAAGGAAGGAGGGACATAACAGCCCTAGAACGCAGGCTTGTGTCCTGAACAGGCTGTTAGAGAAATTCCTATTCTTCATTCTCAGTATTGAAGTCTTAGCATGGGGGCCTTTACCAGCTGTAAGGCAGTAACTGCAAAACAAGGGCACGGTGAGCCTTTTTTCCTCCCACATTGTTGTGCAGAATTTATGAGCTGCTTTACAGAATGAATCCTTTTCCCATATTTTGGGCCTTATCATAATTGCTATTTAAAAGTCAGAAATACCGATCACTAATTGCTTAAGGGGAGATGGCCATTTGTCCTAATTGGAACAGAAAAGAGCTCTGCTTTCATGAATACCAGCAGCAAAACTGTTGACAGTGTTGATTTTTTTAATAGCAGCCTGAGTGTTTTTTCTTGCCCCAACTCTGAGGCCTCTTGACTCTGATAGGTGGCGGTGACTTTTCAAAATTATAGTGACACATGCCATAAAAAAATTGTGCCTGTAACAGTACAGAGAGCAGCTAAGTAGAATAAATACTGCATGCTACCACATGCACCATTCAACAACAGCAGCTCTATCCGATATGCCAAGATGTTAAGGTTAATTTGTAGTTTCATAATTCAGAATTAATTTTACTGACTCTTAATGCATGCATTACATATCTATTCCATTTATTTTTTTTTAAGCGGGAAATCCATGTGCCACTTGACAGATGCAGTAATAGTCAACTAAACTGGCATCAATAATGGCTAATTCTCTTCAGTCATATGTTGTTTTTAGCTTGAATAAAATTATCCCCTACCTTGTAATTGCATATAGTTTATCAGCTGGGACCCACCCATTTGGTTCTGACAAATAATCTCTCTTTGTGAATATAGACAAAGCTAATAAAAGCAGACAAGGAAGCTAATTTATACATATGTTGACCCAGGCCTATTGTATGCAAAAAAGGAACATAGGTCTAATGATTGAAGCTAATAGCTAA